ACCAGAGGAAATCTGGAAATGGAGACACAGTTAAAAGTTTGCTTAGTGCATGACAGAAGAAAAAGCTGACTTGTAACTGCTCTGAAATACAGTTTGCTGGATGACTGAGGATACTAAAGGCTTTTTGCATTTGTGCTGCTGAACTGAACCTAGTCTTTCCCTAACTGAGGAATTATATGTTATGCAAATAATACAACTTTGCTTGTCCAAACTGAAGAGGAGCTGAAGCATTTGTTCAAAAGGTTAAGGACTGCAGTCTTTAATATGAATTGAAATTCAACATCAAGAAGACAAAGATTCTTAACACAGGGCTGACTGGCAGCACCATGATAGATGGAAAAGAGATTTCAGCTTGCTTGGCTCCACAATCAATACACCTGGCACCAGCAGTCAGAAAATAAAAAGATAAATTGCATTGGGAAAATATGCTGTCAGGGATGTCTCCAGAGTACTAAAGGGCAATGATGTCACTCTGGAGACTAAGATGCACTTGATCCAGGTCATCGTTTTCTCAATTACTTGCTAAGCATCAGAGAGCTAGACAATGACTAATAATAGAAGAATAACTGATGCCTTTCAATTGTGATGCTGGAGAATAGTATTGAACATATTATGGACTGCCAAGAGAACAAATAGGTCTGTCCTGGAGATGGTGAATCCAAGTTGCTCCTTGGAGGCAAGAATTTTGAAGCTCTGTCTCACATACTTTGAGCATGTTGCCAAGAGGATCAGACCTTGGAGAAGAACACTGTGCTTGAAAGGATGGAGGAAGGGTGCAGAAGATGACAACCCTGGAGGAGATGGACTGACACAGTAATTGGGGTAACGGGAGTAAAGGGGTCACAGACACAGGGAGATTGCCTCAGTATAGGACAAGGTTCAGAGCTATTATGCATAGGGTCACTATGAATCACAGGTGACTTAATGGCACATAACAACAGCAATAATCTGGCTTGGAACTGCTAGTTTAAATGTGGACTTGCATTGTGTGATATTCTTGCCTCTTCCCACTTCCCAAACTACTTCTCTAATAAACCCCACAGCCATAAGTAAAGTCTATGAGTCAAGTTGCAACAATCATTGGACCCACTGATTCACAGAAAAAGGTGCAAGAGCATGTGGGGTAGCATGTCTCACCTGTACCTATATGTATGGTGCTGTGGATATTATTTCTGGAGACAGTTCCCCTTATGAAGTGGGCAGAAGTCAGATTCAGCCACCCCATGGTGTATCTGCACCTTCTCCAATTGGTGTTAGAAGTGAGATTAATTGATCCAGACTTACAGAAACAAGGTTTGGTTTTGTAAATGTGGGCCTTAGGAAGATGTACAGTTAAAATGGTTATTGTTTGTTTGTACAAGTGGGGGAGAAAACCCAAAAGGTTACTTTTCCTGCTACTAAGATGGAAAGAAAAGTTGAGAATCTGCTTTATGGCTTGAGACAAAAGCATAGAAAAAGAAGATGAAACTCAGAATTTCTTTAAAAAGTCTATATACGAAGCTTTGTCTTTCTATGTCATAATATTAAAATATATTGTAAAATGTATATGAGAGATATGTAATGTTAAGATATATTGTTAAAGTGATTTAGGTTTTTATTGATTTAATGATAAGATACATCATAAAAATGATTAAGATTTTGGTTGATTTAACTATGCTGGATTTTGTTATATTGAGATATATATACTATAAGATTGTACAAGGTACAAGGTATGATATGCTTGATAGATACTGATAATCTTCTACACAGCAATATTATAATTATGAGACAAATTGTAATCAGAAGAAAAATGTATGCTAATCAAAAATTAACTGGATATTCTAAAGGGGAAAATTTTCCCTGAAAGAATATTTGTAGTTAAGTAGTAGAGTTTGTTGAAAGCAGGAGTGGTACCCACTTCCTAAACAAAATGTCTCCGGAAACTCTATGAACTTTGAGAAATGATAGTTATAGAAAGGCTTCAGGTCTTTTGTTCATAGCATCGCTATGAGTCATGTTCAACTCAATAGCAATCATCATCAACAACAGCAACAGCAGAGTTCAGTAAATTGTGGAACTTAGCCTACGAAATATTAATGCTCACTTGGTGTGCTGAAGAGAGTTACAACTGAAAGATGACAAGTAGTAAAAGAGACACTTCACCAATGAATTAAGGCAAGGTAAAGCTGATGCCAGCAGAGCCCCCTCTCCAGAGCTTGAAGTTAATGAGTGGAAGTGGGAGATACACAGTAATAAAGGCTGAGTTTGGACATGTTCCTTCAGCACTCTCCACCTAACATGATGAATGGAAAAGTTGAGGAAGTGTTGCTGGTTTGTTGAGTATGGAATCCTGAGGATTCCTGATGTGTTGACTTGGCCCATGTGGGGCTAAGGCTGAGTGAAGGTAGAAGGTCTGAAACACACAAAGAAGTTTGGAATTCTAAGTTTGTAGCTGATAACCATTTGGACCTAGCCATGGATGGCTGGGGATATGCTGACCAGACAAAATCAGATGAAGAGCTTTTTCATTCTGTGAGCTAGTGTTGATTACTGTTACCTGATGGTTTGCTCTGGACTGGACCTTTGTTTATAGATGCAGATACTCAAAGTTTCAACTTTATTAGAAGACTCTTCAGAAAAAAAAAGACATGCTTGTTCCCTCATATTACTGGTTTGATAGAACTGGGCAAATCAGAAATTGACTATCTAAAATGGGGTTATTAAGACATAATCAGTGAAGCAGCTGGCTTACATACTCCCATGAATATAGATAATGGTAAAGGGAATGCTGGTCCTTCAGATAATGAGAGATAATGGCTAGAAAAGCCAGGGGTAGTCAGTGGTATCAGAAATACTGAAAACTGGATTTTCTATCCATTGCATTAGTTCCCACTGAAGTCCTAACTGTAGACAAATGATCTTGTAAATCATCAATAGCTGTGGGACTAATATAAGAGAGCACTTTCCACATTGTAAGTGGAGAGAGAGTGAAAAGACTGTGGCACAGCTGTGAAGAGACTGTGGTACTGCTATGGCAAAGTATAACTAGAGGAATTCTGGAAATGGTGCCACAGTTAAAGGCTTTGCTTGCTGGATGACTGAAGACAAAGCTGACTTGTAAATGCTTTGAGATAAAGTTTGCTGGATGACTGAGAAAACAAGCTACTTCTTGCAGATGTGCTGCTCAACAGAACCTGGCACTTTACAAACTGAGGAATTATGTCTTGTTAATATGGGTTGGGATAGCCGGACTAAACCTGGTCTTAAATTGTGTTATATTCTTTGCCTCCTCACACTCCCCAAACTAATAAACTCCACAACTGTAAGCAAAGTCTTTTAGTCAAATTACAAAGAAGATAAGACTCAATGGTTCATAGATATAGATATAGGAGCATGTGGTATGGCATGTCTGATCATGTAGCTATTTGTATGATGTTGCATATGTTATTGATTGGGACTGTTCCCATCAATAATTAGAAGTCAGATTCAGACACCCCCAAGCTGGATTTGCACCTTTTGCAGATTCTGAATTTCAAATATGTAAGAGGTTTGAAGCAGGAGAGTGACAAAATCAGTTTTTGTAGTGGATACTGTCTAACTGCATCAGGATTGGTGGAAGAGTCATCAACAACCTGTGTTATGCAGATGACACAACCCTGCTTCCTGAAACTGAGGAGGACCTGAAGCGCTTGCTGCAGAAGAAGGTCAAGGACTGCAGCCTCCTATATGGATTGAAGCTGAACATCAAAAAGCAAAGATTCTCACCACTGGGCCAATTGGCAGCATCAGTATGGATGGTGAAGAGATTGAGATAGTTAATAGTTTTAGTTTACTTGGCTCCACAGTCAACATTCTTGGTAACAGCAGCCAGGAAATCAGGAGATGAACTGCACTGGGATAGTCAGCTGTGAGGGACCTCTCAAGAGTACTGAAGAGCAATGACATCAGGCTGCAGATAAAGGTGTGCCTGATTCAGGATATAGTTTTTGCAATTACGTGCTATGCACTGGAGAGTTTGACAGTGAATAGGGATGACAGAAAGAGAATTGATGCCTTTGAGCTGTGGTGCTGGAGAAGAGTGTTGACTATACCATGGACTACTAGGAGAACAAACAGGTTTGTACTTAAGAAGGTGAAGCGAGAATGCTGCTTGGAGTCAAGGATTCTAAATCTACATCTGACATACTTTGGGCATATTGCAAGGAGGGACTGGTCCTGGGAGAGCGACATCATGTTTGGCAGAGTGGAGGGGCGGCGCAGGAGAGGAAGACCTTCGATGAGATGGATTGATTGTGTGAGTGGAGTGGTGGGAATGAGTGTGTTTGAGACAGTGAGGCTGACACAGGATAGAATGGCGTTTAGGGCTCTTGTACTTAGGGTCGCTATAAGTCACAAGCGACTTGATGGCACATAACAACAACTGTCTAACTATAATTAATTCTTCTAAATGGCTTCTTTTGTATATATTTGAGTTTTCTAGTTAATATTGGAAGTTAATGTGGGTGAAAGATGGGCAATCTCTTCCCAAGCAATTTATTGCCTCTGAAAATCCACTGGAAGGTCATGGATGAATCAGTTCCTACCTGACGGCGCATCACACCAACAAACTAATAAAACATTACTACCAAAACTGAACAACTTCAGACAAAAAAATGGATTTGATTAGTTTTTACTGATTAAAACAAACAATAAAAACTGGGTAAGTTTTTTGGGAGTCTTTTAACAAGCCTGAGGAAGCAATCATGAGAAGTATGGTTACATTTTTAAAAATTGAGTGTATTCCAAAATATATCACTAATGCAATGTGTTTTATTTATAACAAACCACCTAACCCTTCAGGTTCATGTCTTCACACATGTCAAATTAGGAAATTAAGTGATTAAAGGGACTTTCTTGATCTAACCATATTAAAAATTTTGTTTATTAAATATCAAGTACCCTGTATTGCTACAGCAATGATTAAAAATCTTAAGTTGTACATACAACTAAACTTTCAGGACGTGCTGCCAAGTATAACTTACCACTAAGGTGCTAGAAAAGAGTTGCAAAATGCCATAAGTGGAGCCTGCAAAAATATCAAGAACACAAAATCAGCTAAACCCATGGTAATAACAAAACAATCATAACTCATTACCATCTAGTTGGGATGGACTCAGCTAACCCTCCAGCAGGTTTTCAGAGGTGGTTAATCACATGGGAAGAGGCTGTCCATCCTTCTTCCTCAGAGCAGCTGGATGGTTCAAACCACTTGCTTTAAACTGGTAGTGCAACTATCTAGTCATTAGCCCATCAGAGCTCCCATTATAGGTATGGTCTAAGGTGGCAATAATTACAGAGGAAAAGAATTCATTTTTAGAAAGGAAATTATCTAAGTATTATTTCTTTGAGCTGACAGAGTATCATTGTAAAATGTTTAATAAAAGGTACACAAAATACGAGGTAATTAGATGAGAAAATGAATGCAAAGCCTTAGGGACACTCAGAATTGTTGAATTCTAATATTAAGAGTTACATAAATCTGGTTTATAAGACAAAATGGAAAGAAATCTGAAAATTTTCTATTAAAACTTTAAAACATTGTACTGAGTCTTAAAATTATAGTAACTTATGTTTCTACATTTTATAGTTTCATAAAATGTTTTTCATTTCTTAAAAACTTAAGTCTTACAAAGCACCGTTATGGTGCTTTTAATAAAAATTTTTATTCAGGATAATGTCAAGACCCCTTTTGGGAGGTAGGGAGGAGGGTCCAATCATGCCTTGATCCAGGACTTAAATGAAAAACCACAAAAGAAACCCTAAATAACCATCTAGTTTGTAAAAGCTCCAAAGTCTATTAACCTTATATTTCTATTCAAATTTACTTCTCATTAATTAGCACATTCCTTGGGTTAGTGTGTCTCACCCAAGCTCTACTATCTCTTGCCTCTTAGATAAATCAGTGTTTTCTAAAGGGAATTTTTTTAATTGAACTTTTAATGAAAGTTTATAGACGTTGGATTTCCATTCAATGCTGCATAGACAAAGAATCCCTGCCTCCCTCTAAGATGTGGTGATGGTAGTGCTGGAAATTTCTAACTGATATATCAAGGCTTATCTAATTCTTTAACATAGGATTTCTGTAGATTACATTTCTCTGGTTTTTTACACAGTCAAATGCCTTTGCATAGTCAATGAAACACAGATAGACATTCCTCTGGTATTCCCTGCTTTCAGCCAAGATCCATCTAACATCAGCT